ATTAGTCGACTAATTGAAAAAATAATCGATGATTAATCGATTATAAAAATAATCGTTTGTGGCAGCCCTACTGGTGGGCCAAATGAAATGGCTTGGCGGGCCAATTTTGGCCCACGGGCCCCACTTTGGGCACCTCTAGTGTAGTGTTTATACAGGGTCAAGCTGAAATCTGATCAACACTTGCAGCAAAGATTCCAAAATTATTCTGTTTTTATGAATGTCGACTAGTGAAATAAGCTGAGGACAATTTACTGAAAAAGTATAAATAAATCAGTAATTTAAGGAAATATTCATATATATTCAAATATTCATTTTTACTAAAGAACATTTAGTTCAAAATATTAATTTTTAAGACATTTGTTGTGTAACTTGCAGGGTTAGGTTAGGCTTCATTGTGCAGAAGATATTCAGTCATCTGATTCATGTTGATGTGAGTAATCAGCTAGAAAAGGTTTTGATTTAATATTGATTGATTTTTCATCCTGTCCCACAAGACAACCCTCTTCTAAAAGTAAAAAATATTTAAACTTCTAGGTCTTTACTGGAGGTTTCTGAGCAGCTTGAGTGAAAACATTCTTTCATAACAAACTCTCCCTGCTGAGTCAGACTGGCATTGATTGCTCATTAACGCAGTGTTTTTGTGTTGTTAGGTGAGTCACATCGATGTGATCACAGCGGAGCAGGCCAAAGACTTTGTGGAAGATGACACCACCCACGGTTAAAACTCTTCCTCCTCCAGGCTTTTTCAGCCAACCGCTGGAAGCCTCCGACATCGAAGGTCACAGAAACAAAAAATCCCTCTCGGCCTTTCGGAACAAAACCGAACGTGAAGTTTAAATCTATGATTGGACTCCTGAAGGCCGCTGAAAACAGAAATCTGAGTATGGGTTTTATTCAAACGATGCCTCAGTCACACTGGATTTTATGAGTTCATAAAGTTGAAATACATTTAAAACATGCATCTCAACAGCAACCTTTAGGCTGAGCTTTGGTCTGATCTAGAAACCATCGGAGGCAGAACATTTAAGGATCTGAACAGATCCTCTTCTGTACAGTTGAACCAGTTTTGATATGACTTGGCTAAAAAAGAAAAGTTGAAACGATGAGTTTGTTTCTCTGTGAGTTGTTTAGAGGGAGATCAGTTTGTTTTTTGTAGCCAGAAACAGAAGATTAACACGAGTTCATTTTTACTGAGGTTTTTGTAAAGTATCCTCCTCAGATTCCTAAAACACCTTGTATTTCTCACTTCCTGTACTTCAAGGTTATTCCTTCTTCCTGTTGTTACTGTGTTATTCTGGGTTGCAGCTTCACAACATGTTGATGTTTCTGTTGTCTGTTGAAGCAGTTTAAACATCTTTTTGTCAGAAATTGAACTTATGTTATGCTCAGTTTCCAATCTGATTTTAAATGTCTTGTTTTCTTTTTATGTAATTAAATAAAAACCTTAATAAATGGTTTTGGAATACCAAGTTTCAACATTTATTTTCAAGGCACCACTAGGTGGTGTCACACAGTTGGTACACAACCTCGCTTACGCAATTTATAGCAGTGTTTCTACACAAAGTTGTTTTCAAATTAAAATATGTTTTAGATTATTCTCCTGTTTACATATGATAACCATTTTGCAAACGTATGGACACATCTGCAAACATTCATACACCTTTTATATGGACTAAAACATTTAAATATACTCCAAAACAGCTTTTTAATGTTGGGTTTATTCAGCTTATGTTGCCATATTTTTTAAAGAAAATGTTTTCCTTAATTTAATCCTTTAAATTCATCACCAGATTAATTTAATCATGAAGAGAAACTCGAGCCGCGGCAGCTCCAGATTCAGCAGGGGGACTCTGCTGACATTCAGTCAGCATCTGGCACACATTTCCCAGCTCTGACACCGGTGTTATATTCTGATTTTGGGATCATGGATCCGGTTGGATTGAAGTGTGTCAGCAGGGGCCATCCCATCTATCACTGCTGCAGGCTTTCATTCTACGGTAACATCACCTTGCACCGGCGGCGTGTCTGAAAGGTTGTGACCTCCTGAGAGGCTGCTGTAGACCTCAGCTGTAATACCACAGACCTCCGGGGCATCCCGGCCCGCAGAGCTCGCCAGAACTGGCCCGGTACCTTCTGTCTGAGTTGTTTAAGCTTTCACAACACAAGACTGGGACAAAAGGGGCCCACAATTTGTTGTCGACACTACCAGAGGCCACATACAGCCGGTAAAATAAGTATTGAACACATCACCATTTTTCTCAGTAAATATATTACTAGAGGTGCTAATGACATGAAATTTTCACCAGATGTTGGTAACAACCCAA